CCAATAGAAAGCCAAGGTTTTCATCTATCAAATAATGTATTATATTACATTGTTTTCTGTAAAGAGAATTGTCAATTTCGCTTTCAGTCCAAGTTTCATTCCCATGTGAAACACATCAATGAGCTTAGATAAAGTTTTAACATCTCTTGTTACATAGAAAGCCAGAAAAATTGTGGTAGTTTTGGTACATTGTCTGCTTTCTGAATGTTATTATTCTGTATTATTTGGTGCATTGTTTAATTAAGTAAAAAATTATTTAGTACAGTACTACAAGTAGTATAAAAACATAGGGTTAAGCGTCAACGACAGTTGATAGTAAAAAAACAAAAGAAGGCCCAGGTAAGTATTAGGTCATCAAGAATTAATGAAATAGTCTCCATTTTTATCAATGATGCTTTTCCATCTTACAATCAGGTTGTTAATGCTCTGATTAAAGAAATCACTTGGCTTTAAAGCAAAAAACAATGACAATGTCCTCTTTAACACTTTCCACAATTGCATACGTTTTCCCATTAAGATGGTATTGCAGCAAACAAAAATAATGGTAATCTGATGGTGCCATATCTGCCAACTCAACTCCATAATCTTGTGTTGTGTCAAATATGCCACATGTGGACATGCATTGTCGTGGAGAAGAAGAAAACCTTTCCAACTGACGAGTGAAGGGTGTTTCTGATGAAAAGCTTAATTTAAACATTCCAGTTGCTGACTACAGGTTTCTGCATTGACAGTTCGCTGTGGAGTGAGGAGTTCAAAATGAATTACTCCTTTTATGTCCCACCAAATGCAAAGCATCACTTTCTATGGATGGAGTCCAGGTTTTTGGTCAGAAGTGGTTTTTGTCTAGGACAGAACCATTGTTTTTGGCTTTTAATATTCGCATAGAGAATCCATTTTTCATCACCAGTGACAATTCTGTCTAAAAATGGTTCATGCACATTATGCGCCAAAACAGATGAAACAAAATTCACATGTTGGAAATGATTATCATTGGAGAGTTCATGAGGCACCCAAACACCTTCTTTATCAAATTTTCCCATACTCCTGAGATGTTTAAGTATTGTTTCATGAGATACATGCAATTTCAGGCCATTTCATGAGAGTGTTTCCTCAGATTAGACTCAACAAGCGTCTTCAGAGCAAATTTACAAATTATAATGTTGAGAATAGTAGTTAGACAGGGTTCAAAAGACAATAAAACAATAACATTTATGCATAAATAGATGTATACTGTTATGAGTTTAAATCTAATTAGGATAAACAAATGTAGTTTCATATTACAATTTGAAGTATTCTAGAAAGAAAAAAAAGAGTAATTTAGATTATTTTTTGGCAGTTATGAGATCAGTCCAATTGATCAACCTTGTATAAAATTAGGGTAGAGAAAATACCAGAAAAAATATAAAACTTTACTGAATAAAACGTACAAAATTTATTTAGAAGAAAATTAGGGTAGAGAAAATACCAGAAAAAATATAAAACTTTACTGAATAAAACATACAAAATTTATTTAGAAGGTTTTAGAGATTATGCAAATAAAATTTGAGATTTTTGAGAAGAAAAGTAATTTTAATCTTAACGTGGAAATCACTTTGCACTCGACTAATATACAGTAATACTATATATATTTGTCAAAATACTTCATTAAAATTTTTTTTGTGTACAAAAGACTTGTTTACTAAATGTCTGGCAAATTTTGTGAAGATATACAAAGTGTCTTAAAAGTTATAGTATGGAAACTATAACAAAGTGCAAAACGGTTACGAGGTTGGTCGAATTCGACCAACCTCATAGCAAAAGAGTTAAGATGTTAAACTGCTAACTATGTCTCATAAAACAAAAAGCTGTTATTAACATTTACATAAGATGCTAATTCTCAATTTTTAATTACCTCCACAGTAGATGAAAAGGCCAAAATATTATGTTATCAGAATCGAAAACAACATTTGTAAACATATTTTACTTATGAAGTCTAGTGGGTACCTAAAAACACTTAGCACAGCACAGATGCCATTTCTTTTTCTACTGTTGTAACAGTGGTTAAAAAAAGTTCCTTTAAGTTATATTCAATTTGTAAGTATCTCACGAAAAAGTAAAATAATTACTGTGAATAAAAACAATAAACTATCTCAGTTTATCAAGCTATGTGACAAAGGTTATTTTTTATCTTGTTTTGCTTTTTCAGAATGTTGTGCACAGCTACACATGTGTTAATTGTTCATAAGCATAATTTTAAACTAATACACTAGAGGAAAAGCAGATATAATCAAAAGTACCTATCACCAACTCCTCAGTTACTCTTGACTGATCAAATAGTGGTATTTGAATTTTTATAATGCACCCACAGCTCCAAAGTGCAGAGTAAATGTTTACAGCAATGGGTTGCAAACCATGAATCCTCAGATTCACAATATGGCATACTAACCACTTGGCCATGGCCTGACATGGTGACAATAACAATGATACGCCTGGTAATATAATTCTACACAAATTTTAAAAGTGAAAAAAAAATGTTTGTTGAAGTATGTAGCAATTTATTGTGTCAGTAATTATTTGGTCTTTTCTTAACAGTTTAAATCCTCTTTCTTCGTACTAATTAGAAAGTGTAGCTTTAAGCATAAAGCTCATAAATGGTACTACATTACCTTATTGAAAGCCATATAAACAGAAAACTAATTTGACTACTAGAGTACTTAAAATCTCAGCTGCAATAGAACCACTTACTGGAAGTCCTGGATTTCCCTGAGGGCCAGGAGAACTAAAGCCTGGAAGACCATCATCTCCAGGGAGACCAATAAATCCAGGTTCTCCAGGAGCTCCAGGTTCACCCTTTGGACCAATCACAAAACGACCTGCAAAAGATCAAGTTTTAATTGTTTACCTTCATATACACTTCATATTATTTTGCATGAGCTCATTAAAAATAAATCTCAGGTACATTAAAGCCAAAATGTTTTTCACATTTTTAAACATTTTTAAATATTGTTTAAGAGTAACATATGAATTTGACATCTAATTTTATTTCTATGCATATAACTTAAGCAATTTAAATAACTAACCTAGTCTTAATAACTAATGACATAAAAAGTGGCCTCACACTGACTTCAGTTGCTTGTAAATTCCTTTAAGATGAGGAACAAAATAATTTGAATTTAGATTCGTACTCTTTAAATATAATTAGCAAGAAACTTACAGAGCAAAGTTCCTAAATAATCGAACAGTCATTGGTATGTTTGTGGTTAGTTACACTCATCATATCTACTTGTAATCTAGAATGTCATTAGTTTGTTTAATCAAACATCTACAAGTGATTTAAAACATCAACAATATACTTGAATATAAGATCTATACAGTGAACCACAATGTCAGTAGCATATTTTATCATAAAATCCATAATGTCATGAAGCATGTCAGTGGTTTATGTAATCAAATACCTGCACCTGACTTGTCACAAACCATAAATATAATTACGATGAAACACTGTAATTAGAGAATATATAGTGTATACTCAACTTCAGATTCATTTCTGGATTACACATTTTATCAGTACCTAATACTAAATATTCCAATACCTTGGTAAACAAAAAAATTATATAAAAGTTTTATAGAAAAAATACAAAATTCTTTGAAACATTCAAAAAAAATTTAGTTAAAGCACAGAATTCATTCCTGTACCTAAATCTTTTAGTGTGGGTGATTTAAAAACTTGTGTGATGAACAAAACCATATTAGAAAAACATTTAAAAAACATGCTTAATCTCCCTTACCAGGTTCTCCTTCATATCCTACTTCACCACGTTCACCTTTAGGACCATCTATACTGAACCCAGGAGAGCCCTTTGGACCTGGTGGACCAAAGTCACCAACATCTCCATGTTCTCCTTTGATGCCTGGTATGCCTGGAAGGCCTGGAGATCCTGGTATGCCTGGAAATCCTGGTTCCCCTTTAAGGCCTACGGATATGGAAACTTAACAGTATAAATACATAAGTAATGTAACAAAATGAAGTCATTTCATAAGATCAAACTAATGTAGTTCACTTACCCATACTGCTGTTTGAAAAAAATATTATATGTAAGGTCAAATTATAAAAAGTTTAAAGAGTAACATATAAAAAACGTTAATCAAATGACACTTTCATAGGAGAAGAAAAGAATTTTAAGGTTTTTAACAAAGTATGTATATATATTTACATTAAAAGTTAGAATGTCTAAAATCCATTCTAATACAACTCAGTAAATTCTACTTATTACACAAGGAGTAAAGTAGACTGTTCTATTATAAATATTAAATCACAAAAATAAGATTAAATTTTAGAGGTAATTAATTCTAATGATTCTAAAGGTTAATCATTATAACATAAACTAGTTAGAATAGTTAGAAAACAACAGAACTAGTCTTTATACTGATTTTGCTCATCATAAAGAGGCCTTAATTTACTGTGTAATAAAAAATATTATTCTCAGGAAGCAGACAGTTATTTTTAAAAGCACCAAGTGACTACTTAGTCTTTTGTTTTTTGCCATGTTAATGCATACAGCTGTTTACTGGTCATTTAAGAAAGTAATGTTCATTTAAGAGCCATTCAATGAAAACAAATATTTGAAATGTAGTTTAAACACTTAAACAACAACCTTCTCTTTATGAATTAGACAGGGAAGAAAAAACATTTCACCCAAACCTTCTTAAAAAATGTATTAAAAACTATACGTGGTTTTAAGTTAGTTTTCACATAAAATGATTGTGAATGTGAATTATGCTTATTGCATTTCCTCCCCCTCCCTCACACGCACACACTTAACAATAAAGGTTATAGAAAAAT